AGGATGCTAATCACCAAGATGTCATGCTTCATCCATCAGCATGACATCCTCCATCCTTGCCAACTCACCTTCAATCCAGAGGGATCTTCAGCTGCTGTCTGCTTTGGTGGACAGGATTCCAGAGATTTATGAAGATTATTAATAGCCTCACTTATGGCACTGTGTACAGCCCTGATTCGGTCTTCTGTCATTCTTCCTCCATATAGATTCTGCACACCAGAGTTCACTGGAAAGATATGGAATTGTGCACAAGATGTGTCTACAAAGCCAACTTTCCCAAGCAGATCTTTCATTTCAGAGATTGATCTCAGTGGCTACTGATGCCTGGGGGCACTATGCAGCTCACAGCAACAAAAAAAGGTTTAGTACTTTCATGTATATCCACAAGTTGTAGACTTACTTCAGAAATTGTCCTTACCACTGTTTTCTTGAATTGGGAAAAAAAAAAGAAAAAAAAAGAGAGTAGTCCTTCTGTACTTACTTCCAAACATGTGGCCATAATATTCACTGGAACCCAAAGCAGCAGCAGCAGCAGAGGGGTGACTGTGTGAGCCTGAAGAGGTCCCTGCTGTAGGACCCTGGAACGGCAGGGCCGTTGTCAGCTTTGTACCATCTGGCCTGCTAAATGGGTCAGGCAAAGACTTCCTAGGGCAGCTGCTGCTTGTGCTATCCGCCCCTAAGGAAGAAAGGAAAGGCAGGTTGAAAAGCCTGCATGATGGACCTCAAACCTTCGTGTTACGGCCCAGAGAAAAGCCTTTGTTTTGCCCAACAGTCTGCTTGCAAAATATTAGTAAGTGGTCACATGGATTTAAGGGCAGGTAGCAGGTTACGGTGTCACCTGAGCCACTGCAGTTACTAACATGCATGCTCCTAAGCCTGCTCCTACGTGACAGGCAATACAGTTCAGCTCAAGCTTCAAGGTGTGGTTTATAACAATGGTGAACTTCGCAACTGTGACCAGATCAGTGCAAATGCAAGGTCAGTTCTGCACACTGTTCTCAGAGAATTAGCTCCTTTTAAAAGACATCTTGCTTGTCAACGTTTTGGTCATAGAAACATCCAAGAACAAATGCACCAAGAACTCATGAGCTTTTTGCTCCTTCCTTGAAAGGTCTGTCTTGCCTAAAACCAGATCTGGTATAAGACACAGGGACTGACTGTTGTGTGGTGGCCTGGGAGTTACTGCTTCCCTGCTAGAGATCTTCAGTTTCCAGAGTTGTCAAACTGTACCTTTTCATCAACACAATAGGTATTATGATTACAGAGTAACTCTCCTTTTGAGCTAATCATACAGGTAACTCAACAAAATGCCTTTCTTCCACAGGTGATTAATAGTAATTAATTCCTAGAATTAGGAAATCATTTTACAGGAATGGCACACTGGAAGAGACTTATCTTATACCTGGTAACTGAAAGATTCAGACACAGCAGCCAAAACATGCATCAGCAGCATGGTTCCATACTGCAACAACGTGGAAGTTACCACTTCCCTGGGAAGGTCTCACAGAATCACCTGCCTCAATCATGTAGATAAAGCTGGAAACGGAACTAGCCCTGAGCCCTAAATGTGGGAAGAAGCTCTCTTGGGAAGCCTCCACACTTCAGAGGAATCACTTGAGTTTTTCCGTTCAGCATCTCCCAGACAAACACTTTATAACTAATACTTTTCATTTTCAGTGAATCTCAGCAGACAGACTATATATAGACCACATGCCTATATATGTTTATGCTATTTTTTTAAATATTAACAACTATAGTAAGACCAACTGTTTTGCAAAGTTCTGGGGCAAACAAATTTAGCCCTACCTTTTTCAGTAGTATCTACTGTTGAAATGTTCAGAGCACTGAGAGCAGCTTCTAAATCCTGCACTTGCTTTAATAACCGTTCCCCTTTATCTGGCAGCAGCTGAATGTTCACTGTAGCCAAAGTACTCTGCAAAACAAACAAACAAACAAAGAATCCAAAACCTGAGTGTGCTCACCAAGCTCTCTGCCAGCAGAGAACGATCAGGTCAGAAGTTTAAAAACACTAATCCCATGACACAGTCATTTGTATTTTGATATTGTTCTACAACATCCAGAAGCATTTAAGTGCCATTTGAGGGTGATTTAAATAGTCTTGTAGCAGAAAATAAACTAAATACTAGTATACTTTAGAAGAGATGAAAGGATGCAGGGCTTCTCCCTTTTTAAAAAAAACAGGAAGAAGAGATAGTCAAGTGACTTTTGGACAATCTTAACATCTCTCAAAGCACCTAACATTCAACTACTTGCATGTTTCCATACATGCAGGAACAACAGTTCCAACTGTTTATTTCAAGGGTCTGTTCTGAGCTCTAAGCAAACAGGTGTTTTTATAACAAAGACTAAGAAACATAGTTACTGACAATTGTTAAAAAAAGTAGACAACATAGTTTACTTCATCTTACTGTGAGCTAGATCACTTTTGCTGCATAAGGCCAGGAGAGGCCACGGGAAACAGCCACGTTATTTACAAAGGTTAAGCTGGCTCTGTACTGTTCCCTCTTTTCAGGTAAAAGACAGATGCTACCTTAGGCAGGTCAAAACAGAGCAACCCCAAATGCACAAGGTTGTCCTTCCTTAGGGGTAATTGTCTCATATGTGGCTTAAAACAATTAACCTGTGCCTAGGCTGAATTCCCTTTCTACCCTCATCTTTCTAAACCATCCGAATATTTTGAGTTTCTGTTGTGAGGGGATACCATTTTCTGATGCCTGTCACAAGGGAAGTCACACTGAACACAGACCAAAACCAAGGAATAATAGGTGCAATAAATTACCTTCTTCTGCCTCAGCTGAACTACAAGATGGTTGTGAAGAGCTTTTGGGTCCTGGAGTCCTTCCACACACTGTGATGCTGCAGCTTGTGGCAAAGATGTCCCCTGCCTACTCTTTCCTGATTTTCCTGAAGGGATGTCTCTTGACTGCAAACCCTCAACTGATTTCTCAGGTTTACTTTTACCTGATGAGGAACAAGCAAATTCTACTTCATCACTGTCAGAGGCAGAAATTTCATCAGCAGGCTGTCCCAGCCCTGGTCTGATCTGTATCTTGGGTAGCTCTGCCTCTGCTCCTCCCTTTGGGGCAGCACGTTGCGATTGTGGTGCTGCTGGGAAAATGGCCTCTTCTTTAGACACTGGTTTTGTTTCTCCATTCTTCCCACTAACATCTTCTTTCTCTCTGGTTTCTTCATCTCCACGTTTTTTTAAGCTTTTCTCTCTGAGCTGCTCCTCTGGAGGCTTGGTACTTGCACTTTGCTTTCCAAGAATAAGTGGAAAGAGCTTTGATCTCCCGTCTGGCTCTTCTTCCACACACTGAGAAGACTTGGATTCCCTGCCACTATATTTCTCTTCCTCCCAAAGGGCGTTCTTCCCTTTCCAAGTCTCAGAAGAGCCAACCTTAGATTCAGACACTATGCTTTCTTTAAGTTCTGGATCACTTCTATCTACTGTGGACTGCTTCTTTTTTGTTTTCAGTCCTTCTAGAGGTTCTTTCTCTATGGAGGAATTGGAGGTTGATTTCTTTTCTTTATGTGACACCAGCACGCTCTCTGTCTCTGCTTCTACGCCTTCTGCTTTACTTTCCTCACCAGTTCTTTGCTTAACTTGTTTCCAGGACGATTGTTCACAATTCTTATCTATTACTCTGAATGGATTTCTTTGGCCACTGGGATTGAAGAGAGGTGCTGCATTGGGCTCAGATTCTACAGCTTTTGACATGTTGGCAGCTTTTGGATCCTGCAATAGATACGAGTAAACACTACTGTAACAAGCACAACCTGATCATCTCTAACACCACCACATTCTCTAAGAACGTCATCTTTCCTATCATTTTAGCAGGATCAGGATAAACAGTTTACAACGAAAACAGAACAAAACTGCTGGTTTTTTTGCTTTCTTTGCCATCTGCATGTTTTTTGCAGATCAAGTCCCAACAGGACCATCCTCAAAAAAAGAGGACAGCCAGAGATCAAAGCCAAGTTTCTTTTAAGACTGCAGAACAGTGATTGCTTCACCCAATTTAGGAGTAATAGAAGCCTGTTCTGGAGGACAGCAGGCTTTTAAGCTAGAAAATACAAATACTCCCACTGGGTAGTCTCAGAGACGACTACAGTATCCAGTACAAAAAGTCATACTGGAATAAGCTGACACTGTAATACAAATGTAACATTCATACCTGCCATGGGATTCTTCCACACCAGTTCTTCCCATTCAACTTACTTTTAAGGCATCTGTAAAACAACCTACCAAAGAATAAAACAAGATTTGAACTATAAAGGCCAGTAAAGCAACTCTAAGCGTTCTTTAAAAAGTGCTTCACACCAGAATCACAGGATTATTGAGGCTGAAAATGACCTCTGAGATCATCAAGTCCAACCTATGACCTAACACCAACTCATCAGCTAGACCATGGCACTAAGTACCACATCCAGTCACTTCCCTGAGAAGTCCATTCCAATGTCTAACCACCCTGTCCATGAGGAAGTACTTCTTAATATCCAACCTAAACTTCCCCTGGTGCAGCTTCAGGCCATGCCCTCTTGTCTTGTTGCTAGTTGCCTGGGAGAAGAGCCCAGCCCCCATCTGACTACAGCCTCCCTTCAGGGAGTTGTAGGGAGTGATAAGATGCCCCCCGAGTCTCCTCCAGGCTAAACAACCCCAGCTCCCTCAGCCTATTCCTATAAGACTTTCTCTCTAGTCCCTTCACCAGGCTTGTTGCTCTCCCCTGGACCTGCTCCAGCACCTCAATATCCTTCTTGCAGTAAGGGGCCCAGAACTGCTCACAGTGAGGCCCCATCAGTGCTGAGTACAGGGGGAGAATTACATCCCTACTCCTGCTGGCCACACTATTCCTGATACAAGCCAGGATGACAGAAACACCCCAGACAAGTTATCTTGCTCTGTACTTTACATCCAGACTCCCGCATATTAAAAAGCCACAAACACTGGCAACAAAGCTTTTTACAAAAACATTTTTCTCTGGATCAAGATTCCTAGAGTTGGGGTTTGGGTTGTTCCAACAAAAGTAACTGCTCAAGCAAAAATACTGTCTATGTTCTGAGCCTCAGAAGTGTCCTATGACTTCAAGGTGTAAGGAAACAGCTGTTATTTTAGTCACACTGCACAGGCCATCTCATCTTTAAGCACCTCAGGAACAGGAGAGCTTTGGATGTGATTATTTTTTCTTTCATACTGGCAGCCAACCAAGACTACTGCAAGAACTTTATGAACACTAAACTGGTTGATCTGATGCAACCATCCTGAGTCTGGGATGAACCAAATCACAGAGCCGGCTTCAGTACTATTAAAAACAAACATTATCTGTTTGCTTGGGTTTATAGCACTGAATATAACTGCTAATAAAAAGAGCATACATTTTGAAACATGATAATTGAAGGCCTCAAGGCTGGATGAGCCCTTCCAATTCCAGCAGGAAACTGAAAGTCTGCCACCAACCAAGCCATTCCAGATGTCCAAACCTGCACAACAAACCTTTGCTTCCACTCTGAGGAACTTACGTGTATTCATCTCTGTCCTGTTGCTGAACCAGGACTTGCAGCTCCACCACGCATCCCTCATGGATCAAGCAGTGAGAAGCAGGAACACTGCAAAGAGGAAAGGCAGAGGGAGAATAAAGCCAAGATGAGCTCTCCAGGGAACAGCGATGCCGGAAAAGAAGTCACAGAATCTTAGGGGTTGGAAGGGACCTCGAAAGACCATCTAGTCCAACCCCCCTGCCAGAGCAGGGTCACCCAGAGCACATCACACAGGAACGTGTCCAGGTGGGTTTTGAATGTCTCCAGTGAAGGAGACTCCACAACCTCTCTGGGCAGCCTGTCCCATGGCTCTGTCACTCTCACAGGAAAGAAGTTTTTCCTGATGTTTACATGGAACCTCCTATGCTCCAGTTTGCATCCATTACCCCTTGTCCTATCACTGGTCATCACTGAGAAAAGCCTGACTCTGTCCTCCTGACACTCACCCCTTACATATTTGTAAACATTGATGAGGTCACCCCTCCGTCTCCTCTTCTCCAAGCTAAAGGACCCAGCTCCCTCAGCCTTTCCTCATAAAGGAGATGTTCCACTCCCTTAATCATCTTCGTAGCTCTGCGCTGGACTCTTTCGAGCAGTTCCCTGTCCTT